GCGAGAACACACATCTGGAGCCCTCTGTGGTCTCCGCGATCGGCAACACTGCTTGTCAGGTGATGGAGACAGGATGGTCCATGCAAATGAGCAGACCCAAGTCACATTGTGTGCAACCAAGACACGATTCCAGACATCTTCAGAATGGATTAGAGTCACAAGAAATGGAGGTTCAATGGAGTGACGGATAATTAGTTGGAAGCACATTATTTTAAGTAAATCTCCCTGAAAATATGCTTATTTATTGAATATACTGGCCAACGGCATCCACTAACTGTCCTTTTATTGCCACAGGAAAGTAGGACAATATAGTAGATAAAAGGAGAAGCGCTACCTTAGGTAATCTTTAAAAGCCAAGATAAAAATCTTCAGCTACCCAAGTGGCATTTCTTACTACTGACAGTTATATCATGCAGGAGTTATACCGTATTTGTGGAGCCTATGGTTAATGCTACATTTATTTCCAATATGTGGTAAACAGTATTTGAATTAATATTATGTAGCCGATTGATGCCATCTGGTTTACAAGATGGAAGGGATGGGAGACCGAGAGCGCCTTAGAGGACAAGGTGAGCTGTAGGGTGATGTTACTGGAGACAGTCGCAGAGCATTGCCTGTCAAGCCAGCTATGTTGCTTAAGCTTCGAGATTTTTCATAGCCTTGTATGAGAAAATGCACAGACATCAGTTGAATTCAGCCAAAAAATAGACAAAGACAAACAATACAATGTAATGTAATCCAAGGAGCTATCTGAGACTCAGAGGGAATCTGCCTGCAAAGGAACTTAATGCTGAGACACATTACTACCAAAAGATATTAATACGTAAAATTATTTACAAATTAATGCAGCTATTCTTTCCCAGAAAACTAAACAGACCATCACACAAGAGGTCTGACCTGCTCTTCCACATCCCGTCTTGCACTCAGTGCTGCTCTATTGGCTTCAGCAGGGTTGCACAGAATGCAAGATAAACGATCCCAATAGGGTTACTGGGTGAGCTATCTGGCTAAGCATAATCAAAAACCCTTTAAGACAGACTATAAAAACTGTTAGAATTATATAATCTCTACTAAACCCAATTCCTAATAAAGGACATTTTTTCTTTAAAAATAAACAAAACAAAAGCCAGATAAAGTGCACACAGTATGTGTAAATCACTTCTACAGAGGACTGAATGATAATATGGGAAAGAAGCTCCATCTTCAGAAATATTAATCCTAAGACTTTGTGTCTAATATTAAAGTATAATAAGATAGCAGAGTTCGACATATTTGCAAATGCCTCCTGATGGGCAAATTTAAAACACCATATTTGTGCTCCTTCTCCAGCTGACTCAAATGAAATAAATGGTATTAATCCACATAGGTAAGTAGTAAATAATTAGTCATTAAATGAGGCAACCACATAATGCTTCGCAATTTGGAGGGAACATTGCACTTGCAGATGTTTCTGTTCACATACACCGTGAGCTCTAGCTACCTACTTTCTGCTACATATAGATTGTTTTCACCTTGTAGAGGCTATGCTGTAAAACGATGGAAAAGCATTGCTATTCTCTGCATCACTGTCTTCATACTCAAGTATTGCCAATAGCGCCTGAATAAGCCCACTTATGAAGAAAAGGATCAACCCATCGGTTTGGAGAGAGATACCAGCAAGGAAATACAATGAAGATGAAGCCGGACAGGACCTTGCTCCTCAAGTACATGGATACATGCTTCACTGCAAGCATGAGAAGTCCCATTGATTTCAACGGCATTACCTATTTCCTTGGAGACAAGTATGCATCTAAGCATTTGTCAGGTTAAGACATTCAGGTATAAATTGCTTACAGTGAAATACTATGACTTTTTCCACAGAAACTATAATATGTCAATGGCAATATAGCTAAACATTACACAGGACGTCACCAGACATTTTTTTTTTCTTACTGAAATAGTTACTGGCTCAAATTCCATCTCTCCAGATAACAGACAGTTAACAGACAGTTGTTAGCATCTTCAGGAAAAATCATATCTTAGGTTCTCCCCTAACGACAATTAACATATTTCTTACCTACTGAGAATTGCATACTGTAAAACTATATTTAAAGCAAATGTATAACATCATGTCTGTTAAAACGTTGTGCAATGTTATCTCCAGATTGCAAGGGCAGGCTAGACTGTGATGCTTCACAGACTTCTGACACACTTCAAAAACAGCCTCCAGTTTCTGAGTTTCTATCAGTATTTACACAGATTAGAAAGAATCATGTTTGAAAGGGGAATCGAGGGGAAGCACAATGCTAGTGTATATATTTAACCTTCCCTGTAAACATAAACCTTACCAAAAAAAAATCAAAATAATCAGGTAGCTTTTTTACACAGAAACTAGGAAAGTATTTTTAAAAAATATTTTTCCTGCTACTTTTCTAATGATAAAAGCAAAGAACTGATAGAGGAAGATGGTAAAGATGATAAAGAAAACAGGAACTCCTAAAAAATGAAAACCAGATACACAAGATGAATAGAGATAGAGGCATGAACCAAAATCAGTACTTTCCAGGTATTTTAGTGGGGTTTGGATCAGCTCTGAATCAGTATCATCTTAGAGATGGAGATAAGATGTTAATGCAAAAAAGCTCAGAATAAATAATCATTGAACACAACAAAGAACCAACCAAGGAACCAACCAAACAGCAAGGATGTACCAAAAGAAAGAAAGGGAAAAAATAAAATAAAAAAGTAGTAGACTTGATGTGTGAATTAAATTCAAGTATTCAAAACCATTTGGATGCTACTTGTAGATGTTTTCTGCTTATGAGCTAACTTCCCTACTCTGTATAAAATAAACTTGAAAGCCAGTGGCTAAAACATTTCAGCCTAGACTAAAGTTATCATCACAGCCAGTCAAGAGCACATTTCTCATTGAGAAACTGTCAGTTCTGAACTCAAGCCCCATTTTTCTAGTAAAAACTATGAAACAATTTTCTCTTGAAATTAAAATGTTCACATGGTCCCAGTATAAAATATGTTTTATTGTCATATGAATATGTCTTTAGTAGCTGATGGATAACTTCTTTTATTATTTCTGATCTGCTCTAATTATGGTTACTGCCAAGTGAACAGCACTCAAATGTTTATACTAACATTCCTAAAAGAAGTCAAGAACCCTATCTTGCAAGATGACATGGCAATCTGCCTTATTCAGGTGTTCCTGACCTCTTCAAAGACTGGACTTTTATGATTAGAGATATTTTTAATAATCCTAGTTGTTGAGAAGACAGTGCGAGATACACGGTCAGTGGAAAGCCTCCCAAATCTGTGCAAAAACATGTTTGCAATGGAGTCCCATTTAATCTAAACATTATATATAGGAATATGTAAAATGCAGGAGCATGGAGACAATCATACTCTTTACAAATACCATACACATCGGACTCTAGTCGCATATCTGCCTTCACAGGTTTAACCTACTGAGCTCATGCTTTTGAAATGTAAAACGAGCATTTGCAGAATAACCCAAGAGAATTCCTTTAGGGTCTATGGCTGGCTGGGACAGCTACGTTTCCTGTATGCAAAGCAAGTTTAAAAAAAGAAAAAGGCAGAAAAATCTCAGACAAAAATGTTTGTCCAGTGCCACATGGCTACTGCAGATGAACTCTGAGGTGAACAACTGCACATCAGCACTCAGGAACGTGAAACCAGTTGGAATGATACAATTTGCCAAGAAACCAAAGCAATTCTTATCTAAGGAAATGGCAAGACTACCACTGGCATTGCGGATTTGGGGGCTATGCCCTGAGGTCAGGTTTGCAGCCACAGCCAGCTGTGGCCTGATGGGGTAGCCACACCATCAGTCACATGGGTGACACATATAACGACAGAAGGTTTTGCAAACTCTGCCTGGGGAACCCAATCCTACTGAACAGTGAGTAATCAGATTTGAAGAGGCTGAGTAACTAGAAAAGCATTTTTAGCACCTTGCAAGATCAAACATTGTTTACTGTAGTTGAATTCTGGTGGGGGTAGACAGTCACCTTTTAGCATCCGTGGTGTATTACAAAGAGGAAACGTTTTGTGGCATTATAAACTCAAACTTCTCTTTGAAAGAAATCTAAATAGCATCTCATATGATATGCTTTTGTTGTACTCGGAACAAAAACGTTGATTACTTCTGACGTTTCAACCTTTTAAGTGCAATTTATTCAGCTGTAATTTTTACTAAGTTATTAATTGCAGACCGAAGTTATTAATTAATTAATTTGTCTTTTAGAATGACAAATGGTATTGAGTGATGAGTGGTTGAATGAGCAAGGTCCGAATTGCAGGCTTTTCCATTAAAGATAACAGACAAATGAAGACACAAGTGAAATGAGGGTCCAACATCAAGCACATTTTGTGAAGACTAAAGGAGATGAGTGTTTCTAAAAGGAAAGCAGGAAAAGAATGACTAGGAATAAAGAAAAAAGATACATTGTGAGCACAGTCTTTCCTCTAAGAGCATTGTGCACATCATTTTACTCTAAGATTGCTTTTCACAAGCACATTGCTGAGTAACCTTTTATGATCTAATGAAAGAAGTCCATACCTTTCCTGATCCCTCCATCAGTAGCACACGTGTAATCACCTGTCGTCAGTAGGAAACATGTTCCCCCTCTTCTGTGTTTGTCTCTTGTACTAGAGCGTCTGATGGGAGGGAGCCTTTCACCAGGTGAGAGTGGCTGCTCACTTCCTGCACTGTCTTCACCTGATAACACTGGTTAAAGCACCATGCCCATTTACAGACAATAATGAATGAGGAAATGAGACATCACAAAGAGCATATGCTGAATGCCGGATATTCCCATCACTCAAAAAATAGTTATAAGGTAAATCATTAGAAGAAAACAAGATTGCAATTCACCATTAATCAGCACAAAATGGCAAAAAGTATATTTTTTATTCAAGAACAAATGATCTTTTGACTTTCCTGTTCTTCTTTTAAGTCTCACAGAAAGTTATACTAAACTAACATGAAATAACAAATAATCAAATCAAGGCTCCGTTAGTTGCCTATTATGGACTGTAACTTTTCACAGTAAAGTCAGCCTTGGATATTTCAAACATGTATTTACTATTTTGGCTATCCTTTTTGCTAAACAGGAGGTCATGTTAGTCATTTTTGCTTAGAATATGTTGTTTAGCATATTTTAAAGACAACCCCTCCCCCAGGAGGGTTAAATTTTCAACATTTGGCACTAAAACCTGTTTAATAACACACTTAGCTTTCATTCCTATACTTGCACTGCTTGTCATCATAAGTACCCAACATTAAATGCTGTCTTTGGTCTCTGTAGTTTATTTTGTCAAACAGCGAAACTCTTACCTCTCCTGATTTGGCACTCCCAAAGGACTCTCTTTTAAAATTATCTACTATTTCAAATTCAGGCCACACTTCAAGAAAAAAAATCTCAGCTCAGTATAGTACATAACAGCTAATGGCATGTTACTGACTTCAGCTTTACCTTTGCATTTAAACCTGAGCATGTGTTTTTCTGAACTGGTAATGCAAAGGGTAATTCAGCCTTGAAGTTTTGCACAGAATTCCTAGTGACTCTAAAAGCATTCTCTACCAGGAATAAAGTTACAGTGCACGATGTGAGCGGTGGCACTACTGAAGAGAAAGTTAACACTTTAAAATGGCTCCTTTTTGCATATCTGCTTTCTCTCTAACTTCAAGGATTATAACACCCTGTAAATAAAGCTGCAGACACAGAAAAGTGTCTCTTTGCTCTGATCACACTGAGCCTCTTCCATTCCGGAATACCTTTAGTAGGACCTGAGGGCATGAAAAAGCTGTTATCATTAACACTTTAAAGATGTTGTCTGAAAGTGGTATCAGTCAAAGCACTGTAAAACTAACTATATTCCATCCTCAGTGTGAGTCCTTTCAAGGATTTCTATCCTCTTAAATATATTTAAGATGTTCAAAAAGCTGTGTTAACTTTGTCTGTGAACACTCACTCGGAGACTGAAACCAAGCTTCTTTGAACATAAATGCTATTCAGTAACAGAGCAACAGACCAAAGACAGATATTGTTCAGAGACCAATTTTCCAGACTCTTCTTTTTAAAAAATAAATTTCAATTACTGAATGACACCAGTCATGAGTGGTTCTGCTCTTACTATTCTTTAGCAGCCTTCCAACAGGAGTCTAATGACTGATATGTGAGCTTTGTCATCAGATCCTGCTTGGCTTAAGAATAAATACATTCAAGAAACAAACAAAAAAATCCTTGCTGCTAAAAAATTTGTTTTAATTATACTGAGAGATAAAATCTACTCTTTAATTTGAAGATATATGGAATATGGGGCAGTGGCTTCGAGGGGCAGAGGCTGTCATTTTATATGCATTTTCACAGCGATTAGCACAAAATACTCCTTACCCATCACTTGGAACTCTAACAAATAAGGTAATATAAATAATAAAAATCAACACTAATAATGATGATGTTGCTAGGGGCTGTCATTTTCATTTTTCTTGACAAACTTTACATCAGCTATGCTATTATCATTCAATTAATAGTAAATATCATGCAATGTCTCATCTAACACAGACAAAGGAGGTGCTTCTAGCCAGGGAAGCAGAATGCCAAATGGAAAGAAAGCTAGAAAGAGAATTTCTTCTTATTTCCTTTGAGTGCTGGGCTTTTGATGTAAAGCACCTGCTCCTTTTAAATGACTGCTTCTTTGTAGGATCTTGCTTAACAGGCCACGATGTGGCACAGGCAAAGCTGACACAAGAGACAGACACTGAGGCAAAACACCATGGAGTCCAACAGGGTGGGACACGGTGGCTGCTCAAATAGTCACAGTCATGCAGAAAAACAAGAAACAACCATACGACGCAACAAACAACAGGCAAAAGAAAAGGTTGATATCATCAGC